AACTATACTGTCCACATACAACATACAATCTCCCGTGTTGTGAAGAACGGCCTAGTCCACCCCGATGTATGACTTGGCTTACAATATCTATTGCCTATATAGGTGGTGGTGTTGCTGCGTTTACCGCAAAATATATATAACAGGCACTTCATTTATGTTAACTATTTGTCTGTCTCCCAATATTCTATACGTCTTTAATCAGATGCTTGAACAACTTGTCCAGGTAATAAGCAGATTGCTTGGGATAGCGAGTTTTTTCCTCGGACTCAAAGTCGATAAATGTAGAACCGAAGCGATCCGCATACCCAGCGGCCCATTCTGAAAGTATTAGCCAATTCCAAATTCATACGAAGAAAGCAGCCACTACTTACCCCAGTTATCAGTGAATGTCCAGGCAAAGTAAGACCGGATATCAACTCCGTCTTCCTTCACAGCCCGCGCTAATGCATTGCCGACATAACCCTCGAAGAACTTGATGCGGAACTCGTCATTAAGAACCTCAGGCGTAGGTGCAGTCTCACCCTTGGCGGTGGTACCATTTTCAGTGACATAAATAGGCATCTGGTATCGTTTATAGATCCAGTTCAACAATTTCCTGAATCCCCCGGGCGCGGCCCGCAGCCACGGGGTATCACTTTCCTCTCCACGAGACACACCTTGCTTATTCTCATTGCAGATCTCCACATTCCCCTTGTGGTCATTAATATCAGGCGGAGATGTCGTATGCTTCACGAAGAAAGTCGTGTAGCTATTCATGCCATAAAAATCCGAGCTCCCAAACACAAGCTTCGATTCCTCCTCCGTGAACCTCGGCAACCGATCACCAAGCTGCGCCCGCATCGACGCAGGATAATCACCCGTTTTGTACAACGGATCCGCAAACCAAGCGATCTCAAACTCGCGCGCACGCTCTGCAGCCTCCTGGTCGCGCGGGTCCTCTTCATCCCACGCCTCGGACCAGTTGCCATGCAGGGTAATACCAATACTTCCCTTCTGCTGGGGCTGGAACTCTTCCCGGTACAAGCGCACGGCATGGCCGTGCGAGATGAGCTCAGTGTGCGCGACGGTGAACGGCTCGGTAGACGAATCGCCTTCGGCATTGCGCTCACGGAAGGACGATCTGCCCGGCGCGTGCACGCCCGCTGCATACCCGGCGAGGGTATAGACGCCCGGCTCGTTGTAGGTGATCCAGTGTTTGACGCGGTCGCCGAAGCGCTCGAAGCAGACACGGGCGTATCGCACAAAGTCCGGCGTGTAGGCGTCCTGATTCAGCATGCCGCCGTACCGATCTTCCAAGGCCTGGGGGATATCCCAGTGGAATAAGGTGATGAAGGGGGTGATTCCATTGCGGAGGAGTTCGTCGATGAGATCGGAGTAGAATTTGATACCTTGCTCGTTGACGGGATCGTCGCGGCCGCCGAGGGGGATGATACGAGGCCAGGATAGGGAGAAGCGGTAGGCGTTTACGCCGTAGGACTTCATTAGCGCTACATCTTCGCGGTAGAAGTCGTAAGCTCTGACGGCGTCGTCGGCTGTGCTTCCATCGGCGATTTTGCCCGGCGTGTGGCCAAATGTATCCCATATGGACACGCCTTTGCCGTCCTTATTCCAGGCGCCTTCTATTTGGGCTGCTGCTGTGGCGTAGCCATGGAAGAAGTCGGGTCGGAGCACGTCCTTGAGATCTTGCACTGAGTTCAAATCCATCTTGCTGTGCTGCCACTGTGTTGGGACTGGCGGAATTATGACAAGTTGTCAATTTATTTTCTTAGCTTAGAGCTCTCATCGAAGAGGCCCCGCAGAAGAAGATCCGGATAAAGTGATATATATGCGGGTATTTGCTCCGTGACGGTTTAGGAAGCGCAGGGGTTAGATGAGTACGCGAGGTGGGTATAGGCGACGGTGGGGAAGATGCCAACACCTGGAGTACAGAAGTACCTTAAGATATTAAGAATAAGCATTTTCTTTGTTATATAAATCGCAATTGAAATCTATTGATTGACACATCTATCACATCTAGATCTTATGCTCACCACCACCAGTAATCTCTACTTGTAACTCATTGAAGTGAACAACTACAGTCTCTCCACGCTCCGAATATATAGTCACTCCACCTACGACACGGCCATTTTCGAAATTAAATTGCAGCTGAAACCCACCGCGTGCCCGCACTCCCCGGATGGATCCAGTCCAGCCTCTCGGACACGCTGGAAGGATGCGAATTACCCCAGGCTCATGAGATTGGACCAGCATTTCGATAATGCCAGCCCCACCACCAAAGTTGCCATCAATCTGGAATGGAGGGTGGCTGTCTAGTAGATTGGGCAAAGTAGACCGGGACAAAAGCAAGTCTAGATGCCCACTGCATTCTTCGGCTTCAAGTAATCGTGCGTGCAGGTTGAGCAGCCACGCACGACTCCAGCCAGTATGGCCGCCACCATGTTCTGCGCGTCGACGAATAACTGCCCCGCACGCTTCTGCCAGCTGAGGAGTTCGTGAAGGTGTGATTGCATTCCCGGGGTATAGGGCCCATAGATGGGACGTGTGACGGTGTCCGGGTTCGACCTCGGCATAGTCAGCGGCCCATTCCTGTAGATACCCAGCAGGGGAAATCTTCATTGGCGGGAGGCGGGACTTTGTAGCTTGGACTGCTGGAAGAAGGGCATCCTCGAGACCTAGTCTCTTTGCACATGATTCGAAGGCGCCCAGAATAGCAGCAATGATTTGGATATCGATTGTTGATCCTTCGCACAATGTGCCCTTTTCCCCTTTGTAATCGTAGAATGAGTTTTCTGGAGAAGCAGACGGACTGGTGACAAGATATACGCCATTGGTGTCTTTGATCAGGAAGTCGAGGAGAAACTCCACGCACCCACGCAGGGTGGGAAACATCCGACGAAGGAACTCTTCATCGCATGTATATTGGAAATGGTCCCAAATGTGGTAGCAGAGCCACGCACCACCGAGCGGCCAGATACTTGCCGGCATCCATCGATCAACGGGAGCTGTATCGGCCCATATATCAGTGTTGGAATGGGCTGTCCATCCCCGACACCCGTACATGATCCGAGCTGTGGCTTTGCCAGGCTCAACCATGCGCTCTAGTAATTGAAACAGAGGAAGCTCACATTCTGAGAGGTTACACACATTCGCAGACCAGTAGTTCATTTGGAGATTGACATTAGTAGTGAACCTGGAGCCCCATGCCGGATGGAAGGATGGGTTCCAGATACCCTGGAGGTTTGCAGGAAGCGATTTGTGTACATCCCGACTACATGATATCAGGAGATAGCGATTGTAGTTGTGATAGAGTGCTATGAGCCCTGGATCCCGAGAATATTTCAGACGTTGGTCGGTTGGGACCTCAGGAGAGCTCGGCCCAAGTTGCAATCCCATTCGGTCGTACAAAGACTGGTAGTCGGAAACATGCCGGGAGCGGACATCCTCCAATGAGAGACCCAAGGCATTCTCTGCATCTTGCTTGGTTCTTTGATCAATGTCTTTGTGTCGGAATGTAGTCTGCGCCGCAATGACCAGCAGGGTATCACTGGAGTTTACTACCAGATTATTTCCAATCTTAGTAATTATACTCTCATTACCATCGCAACGAACTGATACGATACAGCACGCTCGATTACTGTTCCTGCCCCCAGGCGTGACATGCATGGCAATGGAGTCTCTGGTAGCACTGACATCGTCAAGCCACTCATTCGTTTCATATTCCAAGTCGCTCATGCGCGTCAAGCGAATGACAAACTCAGCCTTGCTCGACGAGTGTAACCTGATCGCAAGCACATCATCCGGGTAGCTGGCCAGGACTTCACGTTCGAAGCAAACACCTTGGTACTCATAGCTGACATGCGCTGTAGCACTTTCGAGATCCAGCGAGCGCCGATAGCTTGTAACCCGGTTAGGATCATGCCCCAAATCCAAAAACAAGTTTCCCAGCGGCTCATAGTTCCGCTGGCTGATCGGGTTAGCGAAAAACGCCAGCTTGGCGATCTTCTCGGCTTCGACATGATTTTCCGCACGTATAGCCTCTCTCAGGCGCGGCAAGAACTTGAGCGCGTCTTGTGGATTGCGATCTTGAGGTCCTCCATACCACACTGAATCCTCATTGAGCTGTAGCATTTCGGTATCGGTGCGTCCATACACCATGGCGCCTAGACGCCCATTCCCGACAGGCAGGGCGGAATTCCAGTCTTCCGCAGGCTGCTGGTACCATAGTTCCGACATGTTCAATGATTTTCAATGGGTCTGGTCTGGTCTGTGTTGGGTGGATGTATCAATATGGACTAGCCCTGGAGAACAAGACGGCAGTTCGGTCCGTCAGCCGCCACTTTTGAATAGGACAGGCTGAAAGACGCTAAATCGGATAAGTCAAAGGAGATAAGAGCTAGTGGAATAATTAAGAAGCCGATCCGACTTGTCAAGTGTAAAGGATTCGGGCAAACAAGCGCCGGATCTCACTCTTTCCCCGGCCGTTCCCCGGATTTCAGGCTAAATGTCTCCCCCAGATTATCATCGTCCCTGTGATCTGCAGTCGATGCGACCACTTCAGACTGACATTGCGAAAATGTTTAAGCGATGTTCCTGCCAACTTGATGCTAGCCTCCCCCGCACTCGTATCTTACTGGTGGGAAATCCCTAGGGCACATGGCGAGGAGAGGCAATTCAGGAGACGGCGTGCAAAACGTACAACGTGACCTCCATCACTCACCAATCACTATCTATTCTAACAGTTACATCACGCCATAAGTTAATCTGGCCAAGCTCATGTCTTCTCCGTGGCGAAATAGGTCGCTTAGCAACATTATGGATGCCGACCGTTATTTTGTCGCCCCTAGCTTCGCGACCGACTCACCGAAGCAGAAATACCCCGGCATATCCACACTCTTGGCTCGAATTTGATTGCAGATTAAGGGGTTTCGACCCCATACTTCTGGCTCGATCATATCCATACTCTTCCACGTTCATTCAATTGAGTTCGCCAAAACGCAACAATGGCCTCGGATGCTGGCTATGCGGAGGCTAAGCTGGGCAAGGGCGAGGATCGGGAACATATTGAGGAGATTGTTCTGGCACGGGTGACAGAAGAGGACCTGTGGAAGCTATCCGAAGATTCTCTAAGCCTCCGCTCGTGGACCGGAGTTCGTCTGGGTCTCATCATGTTTATTCATGGTTGTAACCAAGCTGGCTTTGGTATCGACTGGGGTGTCATCAGCGGTATCAATGCTTTGGATCAATGGCACGGTTACTTCGGTTTCGGGAGCAGTGGTGGCACATATGGCTTGATCAATGCTCTAATGCAGATTGGTGTCGTCTGTGGAGCACCCTTTATGGGTTTGGCGGACGTGATCGGTCGTCGTGGAATCAATTTTGCCGGAAACGCCATTGTCATCTTTGCATCTCTCATGCAAGGCCTCGCAACGAACCTGCCGATGTTCATGGCCGGCCGATTCTTCATGGGCTTCGGCACTTCGCTCATGTCAAGCTCTCAGTATATTGGCGAGATCTCCCCTATCCACCTGCGTGGTGTTATGGTCGGTTTTTTCGGCGCATGCTTCCAGGTCGGTAGTCTTGCTATGCTTGGTGCCATGATTGGACTTACCGAATTGCCTGGCAACAACTCCTGGCGTGTTCCTCTCATTCTTGAGGCTTTATTCCCCACTATTGTCTGTCTGGGAATATACCTTATAACTCCCGAGTCGCCCCGTTATTATATCTTGAGGGGCAAGCGCCAGAAGGCCAAGGAAGTCATCGCCAAATACCACACCACTAGCACTAACATCAATGAGCCAATTGTCGACATTGTGGTGAGGCAGATTGAGGAATCTCTCGAGAATGACCAGACGGGCTACAGGGCCGCCTGGGACTATCGGGTTTTCTTCACCAAGGCGGCCCGTTTCCGACTGCTAGTTTTGTTTTTATACTCGCTCTTCCAGCAATGGAATGGAGGTGGTATTATCACGTACTATGTGAGTGTTTAGATCAGAGGCAACCTTAACTCGGTCACTAATACCTTTTTAGATGGTTCCTTCGTTACAGCAACTTGGCATCAAGGGCGAGAAGCAGCTACTCGGTATCAACATTGGCACCACCGCAGTCTATTTCGTCTTTACGGCCGTTGGCGCGCTTATAGTCGATAAGTTCCGCAGACGAACCATGATCTTTGTGGGTCTTATCAGCATGATTATTTTCCAAACGGCCACGACGATCACTTCGTGGCAGTACAGTCTCCATGCCACTACAGCGGCGGCGGCGCTCACCATTCTCTGGATTTTCCTTTACCAGACCTTCTCAGCGACATTTGTTGCAACTATGCACAACCTGTACCCCATTGAAATTCTCTCTTTACCACTTCGTGCCAAGGGAATGGGTCTCTACGGTCTTATCCAAGGAGGTGCCGGAGCCGCGCAGACTTACGGAATTGGTGTCGGTATCCAAAAAGTGGGGTATAAGATTTGGGTCGTCTACATCGTGTATAACTCGATCCAACTCGTCTTGTCGTGGTTATTCTTCCCGGAGACTAGCCGTTTGTCTCTGGAGGAGATCAATACGGTGTTTGAGACCCCGGGAGTCCACCCGGTGAAGATGTCGTTGGATATTCAGAAGGCCAAGAAAGTGAGAGCGGCGGCGAGCCGGGACGAGGAGGGCAGTGCTAATCGATAACATTTAGTAGTAGGGAAGCTGTTTTATTATTAAAGAGATAATATATTTTGATGTGCCTTTCCCTTCTTTATTCTAGCTCCAAGCTCTCTGGATTTAGAGTGAAACTTTAGAGCTGGTCATCTCAAAATCAATCAATGTCGAATCTAAACAAACTTCAGACCTCTCTCAATATTACACATAGATCAAGACAAAGGCACCAATGTGGAACAGTTGAAACGCGTCGGACCCGATATAACCCTGTGCCTACCCGTCGGAGGGGTGCTTGTTCCGGTACACAATTTCCGCCCTCTATCGTCTCAAACGTACATGAGACACCAGAAACACGGGCTTTGAAATGCTTTGTGTCCTTACCGACTCCCAAAAGGATAGTGTTGGCTTCAATGTCCGTGGTGTAGATCTACAATTGGTTGACATCAGATGATCTCACAAGCCCTAAGTACCCAGACCTTTCTCGGTCTGGCCCATTTCCCGTTGGGATACCTCACGGAATACTTTTCTTTTCTCCGAGATGCATCGCCACCAGTCCAGAATGCAATCACGGCCCATAGGTCCCCTAAATTTCGGCCTGCAGCGTTGTACAAAATAACCAGGTACCGAGTTATGACCCTTTGCACTCCGATACTTTTTTTTAGCCCTCTCTAGAAGAGAGGCTATCCTGATCAATGGGTTAAGCCTTCGAATAATATCATGTGCTTTGTTAAGAAAATAAAATAAACGGTCAACGGGCTTCCTGCAGTCTGAAGTGTCACAAATGACCCGGTGTGGGTGCTTTGCAGCCCTAATATGGTTATCCTTGGAAGAATTGGATGGTGACGCAAGCCAAAAAAGGGACAAAAGAGACTACGTGGCTGAAGAATATAGTTCAACGGGTTCATGGGGCCTTGCATTTTTCTTTTTTATCCTTTGTACTGAAGATGTATGTATGTCTCTGATTGTAGAGTAGAAAAGCCAATGGTACTTGAGAATTACCAATTCCTTATAGTCTGGGCCAAACACTGCATTGATACCGACATCGAGGGGTTTTATCTTGCCCGTCTTCTCTACAGATATTGGAAACCGAACAATGGTCCATATTGAGATCTTCTGGTGGATAATAGAGAGAGACGACAGGGTGGAAATGACGGGCAGGCTACATCAACTCTATTTCTCGTGTAATCCGGTTGCTTGCCTCTAATTGACCCTCGTGGCAACGGTATAGAAGCGGTAGACTTTTTTTTCGATTGTCTCAGCTGAAAAGATCCGGGTCGGATTGTTTGGTGCAAACAGCCACCTATCATATAGCCATTGGGACATCAAAGGACATGTAAATGTACGGAGTACAACTGCAAAACACACGGATATCTTCTAATCTAGAGATCCTGATACACAGAGATGTGCGCACGGCCATACGGACCGAGACGGGACTGCATCTGCCGATTGATGCTCGACCGTTCTAGCAAAATTCCTAAAGTCATACACGATCCAAAAATAGTGTTACCATGGCTTCTGCACCAAAAGCGCCAGGTAAGGCGGCAACTTGGATCGATTGGCTCGGCTTCTCATCACGAGACAGATGGCAAAAAGCAAACGGGTCATCGCTCCTCAACACGGGATGTGTAGGGTCTACTTCGAGTACGGTTTCAGAGGCACAAATAACCATTTTTGGCGTGAAGAAACCGTTGGGCTTGTTAGAAGTCTCCTATGTGTGTATGTGCATGTGTCCTTTGATCTCCTTCTCTTTCTGGGTTTGACCGTAGCCATGCCCCTTTTCTGCGCAGCGTTGGGGGAATTGAGTGTGATACGTCCGTCATGTCGGGTATTGGAGGGTCCATGTTTCCTTTCGACAATGACGGTGAACACGACCTGGTCATGATATATTTGATCGAGATCTCTCTTGCGTTTTCCCCTACAGCTCTTTAATTTGGAACCTTCCCTTTCGCCACTATATTTCTATGTTTGCTTCAGGCGTATTCTAGGCGTGACATCGCTCGTGAATCACTCGCTTTGTCTTTGGACATTATACATACTTCGTTCCTTTGAACATAAAATCGTTGTCTTCACTTCATCCAAACTCCCAAAACATTCCATTGCCAGAACACGGCTATAAAAGTAGTTTATCTGCTGCACCGACAATCTCTCCCTCTTTCCCTCTTTCTCTCGTGGTCCAGTCCGAGATGCCTCCGAAGAGTACACAAGACAACATGGTGCCCGAGGCAAAAGGGATCAAGTACGACGAATGCGAAATGGCCCTCTTCCGCGCCAAATTGTCGTACCATGCCACGATTGACGAACGAATGGCTTCACAGAACTCAAACCTGACTTCGATCGCGGAAGCCCAGGCTCGAATCCTCAAGGGATGGGAAATTCAGATGCAGGGCACAAAGGATTTGAGTGGTCAGAACGAAGGTCGTTCTGCAAGCGACAAAAGAGCAATGGCACAGTACGAGTGGAGATATACGGCCCTGGAGAATGCTGCAACGAAGACCACTGGGAAGGGATAGCGACAAAAGTGTCTTTTTTTTCTCTTTTTTTTTTTTTTTTTTTTCTTTGCTGTTTGTTGTTTGCGCCCATCATATTGAATGATACGAAGGCATTGCTGGCGTTGGTCTAGAAGCTTCATAGCTTATTTTGATGTGCTCGTGCTGAAATACTATGTCGATTTTTCACTCTGATATCTGCTCTCATAGCCTGGGGGTGACCTGGGTAATATTCCATGTTCATAGCACTTGATCCTTCTTGCCTACCTGTGGGCTTTGTCTGAGGGCAATAAAATTGATTATCTCATTTTAACCCTGAATCTCTGACTCGAGGGAGAATTCGTTGAGTGTCACACAAGTAGGTCGGTCAACATTGCAACAGTAACGAAGTACGTCTTGTGTGTATTCATGCAAATGACTCGGGTGTCCCCTTTGAAGAAAGATGTTCGGGATATATGGGAATCGGCGGTAGCTGTGTCATTGTATAACCCTGTGCACGATGGTAGTTGACTTGACTCCCGTTCCTTTTTCTTCCGTCTGCTAAATTACAAGCAGGGCGGCTATTGTCCTATTGTCGTCGGTGACTGAGCACAGCAGAACGCAGAACCGATTGCAAGTCTCATTGGCCGAATTGTTGAATTCCGATGAACTCCGGGCTCTCTGTGCAGGTCGCGGAGGAAAGTTCTCACTGCCACGGTAGACGCAGTAGGCGCAAATTGAACATCTTCGATTCCTCCGGTTTCTATGGAGTCTGTGACTATAATTTCTAGTCAATGAGAGACTTCCATTCAGATAACGGCGCCCATCGGGGACCTCCGATATGGCGTTTGATGTAGTGGATCAACGGTCGAACTCCGAAATCAACTCCGAAAAGTCTCAAACCGGAATTGGATCTGGACTTAGCGCCAAATATCGGTACTCCAACGGAATATCGAGAAAGATAGGCTCTGATTGGCTCTGATGAGACGAGAACCGAAGAGGAATGGAGACTATCGAGTAATGGAAATGCATTTCGAGGGGCAAGTCTCTTATCGATAACCCCCACTCTGCTATTTAAGTATACACTCGCCCTCGTCTTCGACTTCTCAATTAAACACCTCATTGAAACGCATAATCCATAAATCTCTACCCAAAATGCAGGTCGCCGCCGCCAATATCGACCAGGTGTTCGCACACACTACCAACTTGGCCTCTTGCAACCTAAACAGCAAGGTCCTGGCCTGCTCAAACGACTACTTCGCTTCAGTTGATAACCTCCTAACTCCCACTCCTGCCATCTCACGTCCCGGCGTCTTCATTCACACCGGTGCCTGGTACGATGGCTGGGAGACCCGCCGCCATAACCCAGATCCCTACGACTGGGCCGTGATCAAGCTGGGCGTTGCCGCAGCCTCTATCCACGGCGTCGAAGTAGACACCGCATTCTTCGTCGGCAACTACGGCGAGAAGGCCGAGCTACAAGCTACTTACGCACCGGAAGGTAGCGGCATTACAGATGCCCAGATTGCAGACCCCAGCTTCGCCGGCTGGAAGACACTACTACCCGCTTCACCTTGCGGTCCCTCCCAGCGCCGCGCATGGAAGTTCTCCGACGAGATCAGCCAATCCCCCTACACCCACTTCCGTCTTCTGATGTACCCTGACGGTGGCTTCGCCCGTCTCCGCCTCTACGGCCACGCCATTCCCCCTCCCGCCCCGGCTGCCTCTGCCTCAGCCCCCGTTGAAGAGCTCTCGTCTGCTCTCAATGGCGGTGTGACTCTTGCTGCCTCTGACGAGCACTATACTCCCTCATCTAACATACTGCTTCCTGGTCGCGGCAAGGATATGGGTGACGGATGGGAGACTGCTCGCTCGCGCGCTGCTGGTCACGTCGATTGGGTTATTGCTAAGCTGGGCCTTCCTGGCTCGGTCTCCAAGGTTGTTGTTGACACCAAGGATTTCCGTGGAAACTTCCCTCGCGCTGTGCGCGTGCACGGTCTGATTGCTGGCACTGCTGGTGACGGTGTGCCCTCAGCTGATGATGCCAACTGGGTTGAGATCGTCAAGGGTGATAAGCGCTGCCAGGCAGACACCGAGCATGTCTTTGGGCCCTATGATCTCACTGCTGGTGGTGAGGATACTCGGGTGTTCAGCCACGTCAAGCTGACTCTTGTTCCTGATGGCGGTGTCAAGCGTTTCCGCATCTTTGGTCGCCGCGCTTAGGCTTTTGTCTGATATTATGAGAATTATGTATATAGCTGATGTTCTACACGTAAATAATGCATTATGTTCAAATGTCCAATTCAGAATATGTATCGGATCATATCCAATGAAGTATGCCATTGACCATGATTATGAGTGGGAAACAGGTGCATGATTATCATAGAATAACGTCCACAAGAAATACCAAAGGAAGAAATACCAATGCATTGAACGACGAGGCAAAAAAACAAAAAGTCAAAGAGAGATAAACTCATCGACCCAAATGACGCCTAACTTCTATCTTTGCGAACTTGGGTATAAATTTAAAATGCATGGACTCATTTCTTTTCCAGTGACAACGGC